GTTCAAAACCAGCCTGGGCAGGAAAATCCATGAAACTCATCTCTAATAAACCACTAAGAAAACTGGACGTGGCACTGTGGCTCAAGTGGTAGAGAGCTAGCCTTGAGCTGAAGAGCTGAAGGACACTGCCCACCCAGGCCCAGAGTTCAAGCCTCACAACTGACAAAAAAAATCACATGGTACATTATAAAAATATTAAAAACAACAACAAGAAAGATAAAACCACTTGCGGCTCTATCTTGGGGTTCATTTTGCTTAACATCATCTTATATGTACATAGTTTTTGAACCATGTCTTTTCATGGAGGTGATTCAGGTCCTAATAGTTCATTGGATTGGACTTAGGGGATCAAAACTGTGTGTTGAATATTTCATCCAGAGTTAATTAAACATAATCATTAGAGGTGATACAGTACAGGATTAGGAAAATGTAAAGTGCCAGTTCATAGCTGCTTTTCATTTTTCTTCAGGAAAGTTTTCTGGAACCGTGAGGTCAGGAAGAAAGAAATCATCTTGTAGTGAACAAGAAGTTAAAGTTTCTCTGTCCTTGGTGGAATTTTGGAGCTAAAAGAATATTGGATTTTTTTTTTAAGTTACCTGGAGAAGACACAATCTCTGCCTAGTCATTTGATGGACAGACTTCATTTCTTTTTTTAAAAAAAGAAGAAGGAATGAAAGAAAGATAGGGAAAAAGAAAGGTAAGGAAAGAGTTAATTCACTAATATACATACTTAAGTTGTTGACAGCTGTCTTCATTTACTTATATTAACTCTTGAGTAGGTTTCCTATATGTACACAGAGAGAGAAACATACATTTTAAAGAGAAAGTTAAGTACATAAAGTCCATTCTTCCATTTTTCTTCCACAGAAGAATTTTGTATTGAAATTTCATATGACCTACTTTAAAAAAATTGTAGAGATAGAAATAGAGGTTGATTCTAGCTTGTGGATGAAATAATGAAGATATAGACAATATGAAGACTTTTTTCTTGACAATGCTGACAAATTAATTACACATAAAATAGAAAGAATAGATGGAAAATATAGAGCTTGAGAATTATGGCAAAATGATTTTAGCCCTGAATTATAATGTGTAACCCACATTAATAAATATAATACAAGAAATAGTGTGATAGTAGTTACAACCCAAGGATTGTGAAATTCTGGTCTCTTCAGGATTACAGCAAAATTCTGTTACTTTAGATCAAATCTGACTTGACTGTTCTTGATTTATTAATTCCAATCCTTGTCTAATTTCCTGGATCATACTTGTCCTATACTTCCATAGTATAGTATTTGTATAAGAAGGTAAGCAATGATAATTAACTTATCTGGAATAAAATCTTCAAAGTTTCTTACTATATTTAGAAAGCAATTTGAGATCATAACAGGAGAAAAAAGACATGTTTAATGAGAGTACATCTTTGTAAGGACAAAGTTCTTTGCATGCTTTTTTCAATGGTGCATTGTCTGAGATAATGCCTGGCGCTTCCCAGATCATCATCATTGTTGTCATTGATCTTGTTGTCGTCATCATTGTTGCCATCTCATTTTAGTCAAAGAATGTATTTTTAATCTTGGGTTCATACGTGATGCATTTTGATGATGAAAGCGATGACTCAGTACATGAATTCATTGAATTTCAGGGATACGAAAGGATCATAAGTTACAATGTCATCTTGTGCTCCAGGAAAATGAACGTTGGGAGGTTTATTAGAGTGGCACAGACAAATCAGCAAGCTTTAAAGAAGGCACCAGACCTTAGGGCTATAAACTGCCCCTCTAGTGCCATTGAATTGCATATACTAACATGGTTGTATTTATTTTTATGGAAATATACATACTGAAAAATCTCATTTTATAGTATACAATGTAAATTTTAGCATTTAAGTCAATAGTTTAGCTTTATTTATTAAATTATATTTTAGTATTAATTTAATATGCAAATTGATACTTATAGTTCACATCTGTAATGCTAGCTGCTCACCAGGCTGAGAACGGGAGTACTGAGGTTCAAAGCTAGCCTGGGAAGAAACATCTGTGGACTTCGCTAATTAACTAGCAAATGTTTGAATGAGTTTGGGCCATGAAAAAGAAAGCTGAATGACAGCCTGAGGCTCTGAGTTCAAGCCCCATTCTGGCACATATATATGAATATAATATATATGTTTATTCATATGTATACATATACAGGGCGATGCAATCATTTCTAGTATTTAATTCCAGAAGGTTTTATCATCTCACAAAACACACTCACATCTATTAACAATCACTGTCAACTCCCTTTAACTGTTAAACATCACTCTCAACCTTTGCCTCATAGTTTTCTTGTATTAATGGAGTCATATAACCTGTGGCACTTGAAATGTAGTTTCTTTCATTGTTATGTAATTCACTGTGTATGAATAAGTACCTTATTTCTTTATGGGACTAGATGATATTCTATTATAGAGACATACCACATTTTGCTTATCTCTTCTTCAATGGATGGACATTTTTTTTCTCTCTTTAGTTATTAACACATGAACATTAATGCACAAGTTTTGGTATGGACATCTATTTTTAACTCATTTAGTACGTGAATAAGAATTGGAACTATTGTGATATGGAAATGCTATGTTTAATCATTTTAGGAAATGGCAGACTGTTTTTCAAAGTGACTATACCATTTGATTTCTAACTAGTAACATATGAAGGTTTTAATTTCTCCACTTTTTTGCCATAGTCCTCCCCCGCCTTTTTTTTTTTTTTTTTTTGCTGGTTGTGGGGCCTGAACTCTGGGTCTGGGTGCTGTCCCTCAGTGCTTCAGCTTAAGGCTAAAGCTCTACCTCTTGAGCCACAGTGCCACTTTCGGCTTTTTTTTCCTGCTTATGTGGTGCTGAGGAATCGAACCCAAGGCCTCATGCATGCAAGGCAAGCACTTTACCAGTCCCCCATTTTTTTTTCTTAGCTTCTTGATTATCTTGTTGTCTGTCTGGAATTTGTTGTCACCTTTATTGTTCGACATCCCATCATCAGCATGGTGTCACGTAATGCAACTGGTTATCATTGACAAATGCCCCCCATAGAAAAGGCTGATTCACTGGGTGAACTAAAGCATTCACTCCAAAGTAAGACTGAGAATAGGTTGAGAAATGCAGGATAGGTTGAATAACAGCAATCCTCGGAGAACAAGACTGAAAATGTTCCAACCCAACTAACCCAGCTTTGATCCTTTCCATTACTGCTCTATTGTTGGTTTATACCATAATGATAAGCTGTTATTTTGTTTTATTTTCCATTTTATTCTGTTCATTATGATTGCCACTTTTTTTTACAAAGAATAAATTTGGTGCAACATGCTTTGGCTCGTATTACTGAAGTAAAAAATTAAGCACATTTCAAATATATAAAAATAGACTTTAATAAGTCAGGACTACACTACAGCTGTTTGTTTTCAAGGGTTCTATGAAACTTGCTACAGGAAAAGGGAAGGGGCCTAGGAAAATGACACAAAACAGCCTATGCCAAGATCCAGCAGCTTTCCTTGAATAATGGCTCACAGAATTATGACAAAGCTTTGGCTAATTTCTAGAGTTCTGCAGAATTGACTTTGACATTTTTCTTGCTAATGGTCTTCTTGTTTTTGTGAGGGGAAAGACTTTTGGAAGTTCTTACTCCATCATTGTCCCTAATGTCAGCCCCCAACTTGTTTGCTAATTACCCAGAATAAAATCCTGGGAGCAAACAAAGAGAGGAGAAGGGATACAGAAAGGGATTACAGAAGAGGTACAAGGGGAAGGAAAGAGCTTATTTGGAAAGCTGAACAAAGCAACAACATGTGCAGATTTGTTGACAGAGGAGAAAGGAGGCTGAGTACACCCTCTTGTACATCTGTGCTGGAAGGGATGCTAAAAAATAAAAATGGCATTTTTGATGAATCTGAAGCAGATTCATATACTCAGAGCAAATCTTGTGTTGGGCATACAGGAAGAAAATGCAGACAATCTTTTTCTTCTTTTACTGTTTCACATTTTTCTTGGTAAGAAAGAAGAAAACAGACATTAAAAATATTGACCCAGGATAGACAGTGCTCTGTATATTAAAATCTAAGCAAGCAGAACAAATTGAATAGAAAACTCTGGCATAAGGACAATTACTTCAGGGTGTGAAAGTATCTATAAAATGTAGACTGCTAAAATTTATAGTTTCTGCCTTTTAAAGAAATTCTGAGTAAAAGGTGTTATTCTGTCAATGATAACAATTTACAACCTAAAGCTGTTTTGAACTCATCTCACTGGCATCTTAGAAAGTGATCTAATAAATGAATTCCTAGTAGGTTTTTAATTACTGATAATCCTCTGATGTAATACTATTAAAGGCATAACTCTAATGTTGGTACACCATTCTGTGAATTATATGGGAAGTTAATTTCAAAGAATATTCGTTTTGATGGCATATCTACCCTTCATCCACTCTCCCACCCACCAGGCCATCTGAAATATGTCAAAAGCACTGTCACAATTGTTTGACTTTTTATCACCGATTATCACAGGGGAACTAATATCAAGGCATAAAATATGGCTAAATAATATAGTTAGCAGAAACAGTTGTCTTTGAATTTACTTAAACACACATTTGAATTTGATTTCACATCCAGTTTGTGACTTCCAGAAGGAATTTTAACCTCTCTAAATGTATGTCCTTGAATTTACATTGGAGATAACATTACTGACTTCATATGGATCTTCAGAAAAATAAATGCTAATATGGAATTCATAATTCTACAATAATACAATATGATACTAATACAGTATGATTGTAAAGAATTTATTTTTAATAACAATAACATAGTAGGCCCTTCCCTGGCAACCAAAGAACTATTAGACGTCTCTAGAATTGGGACCACCTCCCAGCAGCCTTTGCCCTTAACCCTTCATATAACCCAGTAGATCAAGGCCTGAAAGAATTATCCAGCTGCCTACTGCTCTAGGTGGTGGCTTCCAAGTCTTTAGAGAGTCATTATCTCAAACTCATTATTTGCATCAGTCGGGAGAAGAAAGGGACAGAGTGCTCGTGGTGTTGCTGGATATCGGGCATCATCAGCACGACGTGCTGTGGGGTGGAGACCTCTGGGGGGCAAGGCCCCCCAGCCTCTACTCGGGCAGGTTCCACATTTTCTTCAAGTTGCACTTCTTCAAAACCTTTCTGCTCCTCCCCAATCTTCATGGGGCTTAACAAGTCTGAAGTGGTGTTAGCAGCGGGGGCCTTGGTGTCTGCGGGGGTCTTGGTGTCTGCGGGGGTCTTGGTGTCTGCGGGCATTTTGCTCTGGCTCTCCGTGCCTTCTCCTGCAAGGCGCAGCAGCAGCTCCTGCAGCTCCTTCTTCTTCTCCCTCTTCTCCTGGGACAGCTGGTTGACACAGTCATCTTTCTCCTTATACAGCTTATCCAGGACTTCCATTTGTTCTTTACAGTATACTATGGATTCTCCAATGGCGCTGATGTGTTCTGACAGCTGACTGCATCGATGTTGGAGGTCATCCACTTGACTTTGGAAGTCCACCTCGTCAGGCAGGTCATGGATGAAGCAGATTTTCGGCTTCTTCTTGGACACCTGTGGGTCCTGCTTCCTGCTGCCAGACACGCCATGGTTCTGGCTCTTGGGGAAGAGAGCCTGTTGATCCAGCTTCGTCTGGCACTGGGCTGCCAGGTTGGCCAGGCACCTGCAGTGGGCCTGCTGGTTCTGCAGCTGCTTGCTAAGTTTTATCTGTTTTGATTCAGCCACTGCTAGGGCTTTAATGTAAAAATCTTTCATGGTTTGTGGGTTGTCTATATCTTCTGGGACAGTCAGGTCAGATAGAGTTGCCTCCTCACTATCTTCTTCATTGTGTACTCCTTCACTTTCTCTAGTGAAAGCCAGGAAGCTCAGCTGGGCCTGTAGTTGCTCCTTCTGTTGTTTAGTTGCTTCCAGGCACTTCAGAATATCCTGAAACTTTTGAGACACCATCTGGTCCCCCAACTTGGTCTGCTCCTGTACCTGCTTCAGCTGCTCCAGCATCTGGGTCTGCCTCCACAGGTGTTGCTGCAGAGCCTCCTTCTCCCAGGTCAGCTGCTGATTGGAGGTGATGTGCTGCTCACAGGTGGCTCTGAGCTCCTGCAGCTGGGCCAGGGACTGCTCCTGCTGCTCCTTCAAATTCTGAGCCGCTTGGCTCTTTATTTCAGCCATGTCTTTCCACTCCTCTAACTTTTCCTTTAACTGGTCCAACTTCTCCTGCAGATGTTTCTTCACCTGCTGCTCTGTGTTCAGGCTGCTGGTAAGCTGCTCCTTCTCCAGGCTCAGCCTGTGGAAAGCGTCCTGCAGCTGAGCCAGCTGCTCTTTCAGGTCTCTGCTGTGCACATGTGTGCATTGCATCGCCTCAAGAATCTTGTGCCGATCCTCGGCACACTGACTCCATTCCTCAGCCTTCATTTCCAGTCTCTGCAGCCGCTCCTGCTGCTCTGCATTCTGGATACGGAGGCTCTGGTTTTCTTGTACCTGGATGTGAAGTTGTTGTTCCAAGTTTTTTAACTCCTCCTGCATCTGGTAGGCCTGGGCCTGCAGCTGCTGCTCAGCTTGAGATGGTCCTGCAGGGCGCTGCAGCTCTGCCAGCTGCTTTCTCAGTCCTGCCAGGTTGGTCTCTAGGTCCAGTACCTGCCTCACCCCTTGCTCTCTCTCCTTTTGTAGTTGGTTCATCTGCTCTGAGAGCTGTTGGACCTTTTCCTTCCACGTGGACCTCTCCACCCTCAGGTCCTCCGCAAAGGTGTCTCTCTCCAACTTTAATGTGGTCACTCGACTTCCCAGGTTGTATAGTCGGTTTTTCAGTGCTTCCCGCTCCACTAGTGCTTGTTGAAACTTGCAAATTCTGTTCTGCATGTTGCTCTTCTGTGTCCCGAGCACTTCCAGCTTCTCCTGCAACTTGGTGTTCACTTTCTTCAAGTCATCATAGCTTCTGGTCTTTTCTTGGAGCTGAAGCTTCACATTATTCATGTCTTCAATGAGTTGTAGGTTCTTTTTCTCAGTCTCATTCTGCAAGGTGGTGACTGCAGACAATGCCCTCTCTAGCTCCGCAGCATGCTGCTGTGTGGCCACCATGTGGTCCAGGGCAGATCGTAAATTGTGTTCTTTTGAAACCATCATCTCTAGTGATAGTTTGTGGATTTCCAGCTCTCTTTTCAGTGCTTCGTGCACACGGGCCATCTCCTCATTTTCTTTCTCTCGATCCTGCAGGTCTTTGTTTTCCTTCTTCAATTGTTCGATCTCACTGCAGAGCTGTAGGTTTCTTATTTTGCTGGAGTCCAGGGCAAGCACCAGCTGTTGGTAGCGCCTCTCCAGATCCTCACTGACATTGGGACCTGTGACTCTCTCCACCCTGGCAGCTCTGTCTGTGTCCAAAGGTAGGGGAGGCTCAGGGTCAGCATGGTCTTTGGTTGGACCCTTAATTGGTTGGACCCCAGAGGTGTTTGTCTTGGGGTGCCCTACCTTTTTAGTTTTCTTTTTCTTGATTTTTTCAGGTCCATCAGGACATTTTTTTTGTTGATATTCGTGCAGTAATTTCTTTCCTGCTGCTATTTTTTTTTCCCTTGTTTGTTCAGACATACCAGCTCTGGGACGGGCACGATGAGGGGGCCACATTCCCAGGCTCTCTGAAATAACCTCTCAAAATCACTAACAACTATATCTATTTCCCACTATATTTCCAAAGTCAACTCAATTTGCTAGCTCACCGCTGCAGCCACCTCCACCTTCCTCAACTCCGGCAGTAGTGTGAACCAATAAAGGGAATACCAGTGTTACTAGGACTGTGGGCGTGGCCCCAATTCTTGTATCCCATTGGTCAGAGAGAAATATGAATAGGGGGTGTGGCCAGAATCTGTGATCCAGGCAGGGTGGAGTCATAATGACAGCTACTTTTACAGCCACAGCCCCATCTAACTCTATCCAGTTTGGTTGGGGGCAAGAGTGGGACTTGCTTTAGCTGGATAGGTGTACAGTTTTTTTTTTTTTAATGTTTTTATATCTATAGCTTTTTTTATTGTGAAAATACTGTACAGAGGGGTTACAATTACATGGGCAAGATAATGAATACATTTCTTATCAAGCATTGTAGCCTCCTCCTTTGTTTCCCCTTCCCATCCCTTCCCATCTTCCCCCCCCCAATCCTCCCCGTCCCCCCTTCCCCCCACCAAAGTTGTAAAGTTGGTTTTTGACATAACGACTTGTACATCTCATTGTTGCAATGGGTCCACCTGTATCCCTATTTAAACGATTTGTTTTTCCCCTTCCCCTCCACAAATTATACCAACATGCATTTGGAAAGCAGTATGGAGGTTCCTCAAAAGACTCCACATAGAGCTCCCCTATGACCCAGCAATCCCACTTTTGGGCATTTACCCAAATGATCACAAACAAGACCACACTAAAGCTACCAGCACAGCACGACTATGTTTATTGCAGCATTATTTACTATAGCTAAGATATGGAACCAACCCAGATGCCCCTCAGTAGATCAATGGATCAAGAAAATGTGGTATATATGCACAATGGTATTCTATGCCTCCATCAGAAAGAATAACATTGCCCCATTTGTTAGGAAATAGAAAGGCTTGGAAAAAATTATATTAAGTGAAGTAAGCCAGGCCAAAGAAACATAGGTCCCAGGGTTTCCCTTATTTGCAATATCTAGTATATGTCTGAGTCAAGCAGAAAAGGTCAGATAAGGTGATGTTAGAGAAATGAACCCTAAGATATGTATTCAAATGTTTTTTCTTTCATGCAATTGTTTCTAACACATTTATAAGATTATTTCTTTGTTGCTTTGTATGTCCCTCCCCCACAGGTATACAGTTTTTTTAAATACATATATTTTTATTGTAACCATACTGTACAAACAGTTACATGAGATAGGTAATGAGTACATTTCCTATCGAGCATTGTTACTCCCTCCTTTGTTTTTCCCCTACCATCCCTTCACTCCCTACCTCCCCAATTCCTCCCTCCTCCTACCCCCGAAGTTGTAAAGTTCGTTTTTAACATAGTGTCTTGTACATCTCATTGTTATGATGGGTCAACCTGTATCTTTGTTTCAGCATTTTGTAGGTGCACAGTTTTACATGTACCTTTCCTGACTTTCCTCACACATCTGTGGCCACCAGAGTTTTCCCCAGGCTTTCAATTGGTCTCCAGGCAGTTGCACCAAGAAACACAGCTATCTGCCCATGCTCAAAGTCTTCCTATTGTCACTCCATGCAGAAGTAGCTCTATTGTTCTAACCATATTTGCTTGTATTCTGTTCTTGATATAACCTGTTCTTCCACCCAAAGGAACAGGAGGGTTCAGGGACATCACAGGTCCAGGGCTCCTCACCATGAGTATTGGCCATGTTGCTCAGCTAGGCCAAGCCTAGCACATGTTTTACACGGTTTGGCTGGTGATCTCACAGGAATCAGAAAGACAATCATGGGAGAAATCAGACTGAGCAGTCCATGGTGCTGCTGCTCAGGAGTATGTGAAATTCACACCAGCACAAAAAGAACTGAAAACAAATCTAGCCAAGCTGGCAACTACCCAGCCACATCCAAATGGTGCTGTGTCCCCATCGCAGGTTCTGGGGCAGCCCTCCACCACTCCAGAGCCATTGGACATCTATTTCTGCATGGGAGTGATTGGTTACACTCCAGAGATTGGCTGAAGTAATTGGTGTGGCCAGCTTTTCCTTCCACTGAAAATGTGTGCTGGCTGTGGTGGCCCGCCCCTGCAGTTCTTTGCTCAAGTCACTTCTTTGGATTAAGGCCACGGTGAAATACTTGTTGCAGGGCCTCAGTCCCTGGATTAAGAGGGCGGCTGGTCCCTTCCACAGAGCATTGGTTGGGTGGCCACAGTCAGTGTCAGCACAGCAGGTGCTCAGGGGCAATCAGCCTGAATTCCGCTGGGGCAGATCTGGGCACTGGGCCTCAGGGCTCAGGAACCTACCATTCCTCTAGCCACTCACATTCTGGTCTGTGCATGAGGAACCCGCCATGATAAAATATGTGTTCTCCATTAAAATTCACACAGCATACATTTATATAGCTTTCAGAGCTGTGACCCTGACATCGAAGATAAACTCAAGAGAGGATGACTGAAAAGCATGGTCAGAAGCCACAGACACAAGCAACGATGGGGTGGGGAGCGCAACACACTGGGCGAGAGGGGTACGCACCCCCCATTTGTGCTCCCATTGCTGCGGTTAGGGCAGGGACCCATGCCATCTCGGTTCCAGTGGGAGCCTCACAACCGCCCAGGGCTCCGGAAAGCAGGCTGCTGCGGGCAGCCAGAGAGAGCCCGTGCCTGGCATGAAGACCGCGCCTGCGCCCGCCCATGGCCCAGCCACCTCTCCACCCGGCCGCTCCCCTCCTCCTCCAGGCCACACCGACTCCTCACCCTGGGAGCCCCTGGGCCAGGGCACTCTTGGCCTAGCCCTCTCTGCTCCAGAGCCGCCCTCGGGTGGGTCACTTTGGGTGCCTGGAGGGGCTTCAGGTCTGTCACATCCTCTGGTGCCGCCCTCTTTCACCAAGTACTTCAGGACTCTGCTACCTTGGGGCCTTAGGTCACAAGCCTGTCCTTCCCAGGGCGGGGCCGTCCGGCAGCGTTTAGATCAGGGGTGTGGGAAACTTTCTCCAGAAGCTTCCAATGAACCCCCTGGCTCTTCACCAGCTTTATTTGAGTTCTTGAAATCCCAAACTACATTAACATGCAACACCATTATCTATTCTGTCTCAAAAAAGCAGAGCAATGAAGACGTAGTTATTTTTATTTTATGTGGTGGTGGTGGTGGTGGTGTGTGTGTGTGTGTGTGTGGTGTGTGTGTGTGGTGTGTGTGTGTGGTGTATGTGTGTGGTGTGTGTGTGTGGTGTATGTGTGTGGTGTGTGTGTGGTGGTGTGTGTGTGTGTGTGTGGTTGTGTGTGTGGTATGTGTGTCTGATGTGTGTGGTGTGTGTGTGGTGTGTGTGTGGTGTGTGTGTGTGGTGTGTGTGGTGTGTGTGGTGGAATGTGTGTGTGTGTTGTGATGTGTGTGTGGTGTGTGTGTGGTGGTGTGTGTGTAGTGTGTGTGTGTGGTGGTGTGTGTGTGTGGTGGTGTGTGGTGTGTGTGTGTGGTGTGTGTATGATGGTGTGTGTGTGGTGTGTGGTGTGTGTGTGTGTGGTGTGTGGTGTGTGTGGTGTGGTGTGTGTGTGTGGTGTGTGTGTGGTGGTGTGTGTGTGTGTGTGTGTGTGGTTGTGTGTGTGGTATGTGTGTGTGATGTGTGTAGTGTGTGTGTGGTGTGTGTGTGGTGTATGTGTGTGGTGTGTGTGTGTGGTGTATGTGTGTGGTGTGTGTGTGGTGGTGTGTGTGTGTGTGTGTGTGTGGTTGTGTGTGTGGTATGTGTGTGTGATGTGTGTAGTGTGTGTGTGGTGTGTGTGTGGTGTGTGTGTGTGGTGTGTGTGGTGTGTGTGGTGGAATGTGTGTGTGTGTTGTGATGTGTGTGTGGTGTGTGTGTGGTGGTGTGTGTGTAGTGTGTGTGTGTGGTGGTGTGTGTGTGTGGTGGTGTGTGGTGTGTGTGTGTGGTGTGTGTATGATGGTGTGTGTGTGGTGTGTGGTGTGTGTGTGTGTGGTGTGTGGTGTGTGTGTGTGTGGTGTGGTGTGTGTGTGTGTGTGTGTGTGAAATGCCTATGCTTTTCACTCCTTCTGAAAGCCACTATCCTATTGGATCAGGGAGGGTGAAGGAATGTACCTGAAATAGCTTATTTAGTGTTGTTCTTCTTCTTGCTGTCATCGGTGTAGTGATGGAGATTGTATCAGAGTCTGATACCTCTGCTATAAGGCCTCACATGTAGACATGTCTTATAGAAAGCAATGGGAAATGATTTAACTCATAAATAATGCAGATATAAAGCCTTAGATTATATTCTTAAATGAGGACACTTGCCATTTATAATTTTCTTTGGTTATGGGTTTTTTTGTGCGTTTCTCTGTCCTGTATGTGATATTTGGCCTTTTACTTAACTAGGAAGGGACAAGTTCTAGGACTTTCATAAGGAGTTGGAGGCTAAATGAAGTATACAAAAGTAGGGATGTAGAGGAAGGCGTGGATAAGGGACTTATTTGTTATATGATTGGACAAGAAACCAAGGTAGGACAGACTTTAAGTAAGACTCTCAAGTGTCTGGCTTGCTATAACATGTGGATTCTCATGTCCCATTGTATATGAAATAAATATTAAGGAAATAGACAAAGCCATAGAGGTAACAGGTCATGACTATGAAATTGCAGTTAAACCATCTGGCTAGGTAACGAAACAGAAATTTGCTGTTCTAAGATTAAAAACAAAAATTATGTGGCGCATCTGTCTATCTGTAGCACCTAAAAATATGGGAATTGGAGGAATTATTATGGAGACTCTACAGGGAAAGAGGACCACAAACTGACCCAGAGGGACATTCATGTAAAACGATGTTGGAAGAAGTGAAGGATTCAGATACTTCAATGGAAAATAGTGAGATATTCAAAACAGAAACCAAGGAAAAATAATTTCAGAAGAGAGAAGCTAACAGTGACAAGTTAATTGTCCTTAGTCTTTGCCTCTAATTCCAATTTTCTTTCCCCATGCTCATTTAGA